CTTCATTTTATGAAACGTGCATCTACCATTGAGAGCAAGGCCTCCCTGCAGCCCCACACACCAGGGTTTTAATTAGTGTCCTTTTGTTAGACAAGACTACCTTAAAGGCGATGTAAGCTTTCTCAAGGCCGATTGTCAGCACCTCATTATTAGTCGACAGTTTCAAAGTCATACCAATCATTCGTGGCTGAGAAATTTATATTCGATGGCGTTTCGTATCAGTTGATCCCGTTTTTTGTTCCCCTGTCTCTGCAGCGAAGATCGCGAGTTTAGACCATGAACAGCTACAGTCAACTGTCTTATACGTGAATCTTAGTCGTTTATATGCCAAACTGCATCTTTTCTCTATATAGCCGTTGCCTCTTGCACAACTGCACCGTTTCTTTGAAGGTATGCTATTTTGCTTTGCTTTTTAGTTCTACGTTGGATGCTGGCGACAATTATTCACGTTACCGGTTACTGAAAAACTTATGTACTTTTTTATGCACTTTGGGTTCGTCTGCCTGCTCTCTGTTGGTTAGGCTATTTTGTTTGAGTTTGCGCTCTGCATTTTTTGACTTGTTATTTTTAGACTTCAGGTAAGTACGATAAGAAGATACCAGAAAATTTCGATGTCTTTTTCAAGGCTATTTTTGCTTTCTTTGTACACCCATCTCTCGTACGTTTGCTGTCGCTGCTTTTTGGTATCGTGTTTACTTTATTGTCGTTTCTGTAGTCCCTGCGATTGAGCGCCTCATCGACTTTATGCGCTATGACGAAGGCTGTTGATGTTTTGAATTATATCGTCACTTTAAATGAGGTACAAATGCTGTTCGAAATATTGCCTTCGTTAATGCAAAAGGTTTGTTTGCGTGCCCAATGATTTTACCTCTGTACATAAGATTGTATTTCACAGATCGGGCTCCCATCCCAGTCAGACACGCAGAACAGTAAATACTCGCAAATGGATTACGATGACGACGAACAGTTTCTGGCTGACTTGATAAGTACCGATATATGTTCGTTATACTTTTTTAAAGAGCAACTTGACTGCGTGGTGGCGAGTTCAACCCTGGTCACGAATGGCTTGTCGACTAATCACGTTTGATACGTCTCGCATAATCACTTATGCTGCAACATATGTCGTGTTATCGTTTTTCGAACTTCGCTTTACGCGATGCATAGCTCCACTTGTTCATACTGAATTTTCTTTCGTCCTTTGGTGTCATTCCAAAGTACAATAAAACATGTTTCAAGGAATAGTATAACGTTTTATCAGGTCAGAAAGCCACTACTAACACAGTCTGGTTTTCTTATTCGTAAAGTATATCGTTGTATTCTGATAATTAGATACGGCCGGTTGATAACATCAGTTGATGTGCCCAACAGTATCCAACACATGGGGTTGCAAGTCTTATCGTGAGGCAGGTCTGTGAGATACTAACAAAAGTTCCGTAGCAGATTGTGGCTGTTTCTCACCGTCCTATAGCGTTGTGTTAAATAAACCGTTTTAGGTATTAGTAAAATCTGAACTGTATTTTCACGTTTCCAAAGACAGCAAGGGTTAAATCTTTTGCTGATTATCACACTGCGTAGTCAAATATCAGATGGGTCAAGGCGAATTGCAGCCTTAAGAGATTCTCGCATCGAACGGCATAACCGTACATCTCACCCGTTATAGTATTACCACACCAGATTGCCATACTGTACGTGTTATTCGCAAGTCAACGACGGGTTTACCCTTTATCGTTTGCCTGGTTGCGTCGAAGCAGTACGAGGTGAACTCTGTCCTCAGGGGAATTGACAGTTAAAAGTAATTTTCAGTTTTCTCAGTTGGTACCAGCTACTTCTTGAGTTCGAAGTCGAACTCTTACCAGTGCCGCCGCTCTCCAAAATGCATAGTACCTTGTTCCATTGCTAATCATTCTCGAAATTCAGCAGTTCGCGGTTTATGTAACATAGCGCAATATCAGGATATCTCTGTTTATTAAACTTCTTTAAAAAGAATTGTTTTGTTCATTGCAGTAGTGTTGTGCACTGTTAGTCATATGCACTCAGCAGATATTTACTAACAGCGAACGTTGTCATGGTCCGTTCATTCCAAAGTCGAATAGAACTCGAAATCATAATCCTGGCCAGATCACTTGCCTCTCACGTTTCTAAGGTAAATAGGTGAGTACCAGTTCCGGGAGAAGAAAAAGTGATTACACGCTATAGCAAGTTTGTATATGTAGATATAACGTTAAAAACGCACTCTTGGTGGAAAGCATCGAAACAGAAATATTGTTAGTCGCACGTTTCATGAACGAAAAGTGCCGCAGATTACGTCCTTTACGAATGTGTGAAGGAGTTCGACATACGAACAGACGGCGAAGCATATCGACGAATAGTATAATCAGTCGATCTTACCTCGCAGAATTTTCTTTAATCCACTCTCCTACCCGGAATGAGGAAGCCCTAAATAAAGACTGCTTTGCAAACTAGGGGAAAGTGCATTTCAGGTGAAGGAAATGTAAACACTGATATGATTCAAGATGAAGAAGAAAAAGTGTCCGCTGATGAATGTGATACTCTAAAAGATGTAGAACGGGGAGAAGATTCGGGGTTATTGGGGTAAAGCATTGTGCCGCTGCCTAAAAATGGTATGGCAGAGTTCAGTAAATATAGTCATGAGTTTGCCAAATGTCCTCGTTTGGTAGTGACAGTATAAATCAACGTCTATAATATAAAGTAGCATACAGGGAAAGACTGAAGAAATTGCGGAGGAGTAGCAAGCTAGATTTCTACCAGCGGAGAATGTCCAAGATCTGAGAATCTTACCGTGCTCTCAGGCA